AAACTATTAGCCAGGCATGGTAGTGTGTACCCCTAATCCCAGCTACTCAGGAGGCTGAGGAAGGAGAATCGCTTGAACCCAGGAGGTGGAGGTGGCAGTGAGCCAAGATCATGCCACTGCACTCCAGCTTGGGTGACAGAGCAAGACTCCATCTCAAAAAAAAAAAAAAAAAAAAAAAACAAAAAAACTATCTGGCTAGATAACAGATACTCAACTTTTGTATACTGCCTTATTCAGCCAATATCAAGAACATCCGCATGTTAGATTCCACTCTTCCACGTTATTTTGCATGGTCGAGACACCATTCAGTCACTCGCAGGACATGAAAACAAAAAGAGGCAAAATAAAACACCTTGTCATACTTATTGTCACACCCTCTCTCCACGCAGCCCTTCTGAGGTATGTGCTTCCAACACCAGATGGGCCAGCAGTGGCTCAAACACCCTGAGCAACAGCCCCCACCCAGCCGTGCGCCCACCCCTCCGCCTCAGCCCTTACTCTGCCAACTCATAAACAGCAGAACAGCACAGACAGCTTAAACCAAACTTAACGCAGTCACCTTGGATCACAGTGTGAGGCGGAGGCTGCGGGACAGAGTGACACCATGTTCTAAAATACAGCAGACTTTTAAAGAACAGCCAGGCAGGGTCGAAGGCAGGGAGATGGGCTGGTCAGGAAATGCCAGTTTAAAGTTAGCTCTGACCTATTAATCAGCAGCAGGACAATGATGCAGTGGGGGGTGGGAAGGCCGGACATGTGCTTGGCCAGATTTATGGGCTCAGAACAAAGGAGGGCCTGCTCGTTTAGAGAGTCTCTTTCCCTTTTCCTCTGGCAAAACGAGGACATTGTTTGAAAAGCCTAAAAGAACAAATATTCCAAAGACTGAGGTCATTTCCAGAGATGCAACCAGTCCTGATGGGGATCCATACACCCCAGGGGGAAGACGAATCCCGCAGGGCGGGGTTCTCGGAGGAACACAGTGGGTATATGTCATGAAACAGAAACTGCAGGCCCCTCTCCTTCGTTCTTGAAGAATCTGGGGCCACCTGTCTTAGGCTACTCTGAAGGCCTCTGAGCTGCTCAGCAGAGCCCCTTGGGATAAATCTAGAAGCTTTTCCATGCAGACTGAATACATGATCTCTGCCTCCATCTAGACTCTGCAGGCTTTTCTGGGAGGGTCTTCCTCAGGGTGGACTGCCTAGGATGCTGTTGATTTCAGCTTCCTCTCCATCCAGAAGAGAGTCTTGTTTCAACAGCTGGTCTCATGTCATCAGATCAGGAGAGAAGGGGAAAGTGATTAGGAAGGAAAGAAAAGAGAAAGTGCTCAGCCAGGCAGCTAGATTACAAAAGAAGCCAACCTTGGGGAGAGGAGATACTGACTTTGCTTCTGAGAGTCTTTTTGGGTTTGGGAACTGACTATCTATGACTTCCCAGCCCCTCCCTTCTTGGGGTTACCATCTTCCACCAGGCTCTGGTTGCCTTGTACATCGCTGCACCTTCCAGAGAGTCACCTTGACTCCTGTCTTGCTTTCCTCCAATCCAATATCCACACGCCCACAGCCAATGGGGATGAACTTTCTAATCTACATATCTAACCGTCTCCCTTCTGGCTAAAAAGCACTTAATTGCTCTTCAATGTCTTCAGAAAAGATACGCAGAAACCTCAGCCTGACAACAGATCTTTCATATTGTGGCCACATCTGTCTTCCCAGACCTCACTATAACCTTTAGACCCATAGAATTATTTTCTCCTCCCTAAACATGACATGTCCCTCCTGGAAAAATCCCAGCCATTCTTCAAGACCTAAGTTCCGATGTTCCATCCTCTGTGGTAATGACCTACTGTATGTTGCTAACCAACTCACACACTGCCTGGGCTCTCCACTTCTTTGCCTGGGGTCCCATGCATGTGTCCACTCTGCTAATAACAATAGCATAGCACTTATGATAGGACCTACATTAGTTAATTGAAGGGTCAGTTGAAGGCATGAATTCCATTGAATGACTGCCTGAATGAATGAATGAATAAATGATAATCTATTAGATGTGGTCAGCCCTGAGGGATGTGGAGGCCTATGCAAATGTTTTTTTGTGGGGGCCCTGTATATATAAACAATTTGAGTCAGGTTTTTTTTGTTTTTGTTTTTGTTTTTTTTAAAGACAGGGTTTCACCATGTTGGTCAGGCTGGTTTGGAACTCCCGACCTTAGGTGATCCACCAGCCTTGGTCTCCAAAGTGGTTGGATTACAGGCGTGAGCCACTACACCCGGCCTAAAATCTATGTTTAAGCACCATTCTGACCATCCGACTTCATGTGATACTGCAAAATAGTCACTGACTGGAAGAAAAGATCCTTTCTCCCAGTAGCCCTTTTGGAATTGGGCCTGGTAGGGGGTCCCTGAGACAATTTCATAGATGTAAGCCTTAGAGGTCTCCTAGGGCATCTGGTTGACCCCCTGTACTAAGAAGCGAATTGAAGAGCATGCCAAAGGAAAGAAAACAGGGGCTAGGGCTGACGTGGTGGAGGCTGGGTCTAGAGTATCCTGTCTGGTTGTCACTATTGGCCTCGGCCAGTCCTGACCACTGGAAGGGCTTAGAAGATGTGGAGGGCAGCATTCTAAAGTACAAGACCCCTTCAAGACCAGCCTGGCCAACATGATGAAACCCTATATCCACTCAAAAGACAAAAATTAGCCAGGCATGGCAGCGCACACCTGTAATCCCAGCTATATGGGAGGCTGAGGCATGAGAATCCTTTGAAACCGGGAGTGGAAGTTGCAGTGAGCCAAGATCATGCCACTGCACTCCAGCCTGGGCAACAGAGCAAGATTCGGTCTCAAAAAATAAATAAATAAACAATTTAAAAACAAGTAAATAAATAAGATGCAAGACCCCTGAGGCCCAGGACCTCAGGCAGATGCTCCATTTGCCTGGGTGGCACTGCTCCCAGGTAACCATGTGACTATATACTTCATCATTCAACGAACATTTACTGAGCCCCTACTATGCAGCAGGTACTTTATTAGAAGCTGAAGTCACATATGCATAGTTATTTATTACTATGAGTTAACACGTTATCTCTGCCAAGCAGTGAACTTAATAATAACACACTGAGACCTGCACAGTACAGGAGCGTGGCTATCATCTGGCCCATCAGGAAACTGAGCCAGAGAGGGGCCGTCATACATTCCATGAGCATCTAACCACGTGCCTACTCCTGGGTGTGGTGAGAAATGCAGCAAAGAGGTTTCTGAAAGAAAGCAAAAGACAATCCATTGATTTCACTTCCAAAAATAAAGCAAATCGTGAGGAGAGAAAGAACGATGACTTAAAGCCTATTCTGAGGTTCGCAAATAATGGAAAGAATGACTAAAATCATCCAAATGGCTCCATACTGGGCTTTCAGTAATGGCTGCAGCAAGGCCGGCTGCTCAAGCCTCTTAGAGTAGTGCTGTGGCAAGTGCAGCACCTGAGGGCTGGAAAGGACCATGGCTTCAACTTCTCTCCCTGAGCCTCTATTTCCTCGTGTGTAGACCAGCCCTTCACGTGCTGATCAGGACCCCCACGTGTTGCTGTGAGATTAAAATGATACTAGATCATGAACAACCTATATGTGCTTAAAGCACCAGCCCTGGGTTGCTCACTAATATCGAAGAGACTGAAGGGTTCGTGTGTGGTTTTCCTCACCAAAAAAAAAAAAAAAAAAAAAAGGTATGGGTTTCTATAATGTGGATTTTTATGAAAGGAGAAAAAAAAGCAAGAGAAGAAATACATCTCTCCTCAGATTAACTCTGAAGCTTTCTAGGGTGAACTCCACACCAGCCTTCCTAGTTTTACCCCGTGCTCACTGTGCACTTGTACACACACACACATACTCACACACACATACACCCCCCCACAGCCTGACCCCTGAACATCCCAACCTCTAAGTCACGATTCTCAACCCAGTGCAATTTTATTCCCTACAAAACATTTGGCAGTTTCTGGAGACATTTTAGGTTGTCACACCTAAGGGGCGGAGAGACAAGCTTGTTACTGGCATTAATAGGTAGAGGCCAGGGATGCCACTAAACATCCTATAATGCCCAGGACAGTCCTTACAACAAAGAATTATTCAGCCAAAACATTCAATAGTGGGTTGGAAAACTCCACTTGAAGCCTTTGCTCATGCTGTCCCTTTTATAAAAAGTGTTCTCTTCGTTGCTCTTCTTATTTAAATCCTGCCAGGTGGTAATCTCAGCATTTTGGGAGGCCAAGGTGGGGGGATTACCTGAGGTCAGGAGTTCAAGACTAGCCTGGCCAACATGGAGAAACCCTGTCTCTACTAAAATTACAAAATTAGCCAAGCATGGTGGTACATGCCTGTAATCCCAGTTACTCCAGAGAGAAAGGAAAGGCACCCTCATATCCTGCTGGAGTATGTATAAGCCAATATAACCTTTTTGATAATTTGGCCAGAGTTAGCAGAATTATAAACACCCATACCCTTGGAACAAGCCATTTCATTACTCACACAAAGTCCTGTGCACAAGGATGTTTATTGCAGCACTGTTTGTGATAAGAAAAGACTAAACACAATCTAGCTGATCCCTTTAGGAGGGGTCAGTAGCTTTAAATTACAAAGCTTTTATACAAAACAATTATCTGCAAATCCTTAAAAGGAGTAAGGTAATCCTTCAAAGGAGTCATCATAGAAAGATCGCTGAGATACTGTTGAACAAAAATGGCAATGCGCAGGACAGCCTTACTAATATGTAGCATTTGGTGAAAGAGTAAGAGTAAAGAATATTCATAGATATATTATAAATATATACATAAAAAATATCTATAAGCATGCATAAAAAAATGTTAATAGTGGGTGCCTTTGGGGAGAAGAACTTGGTCATGACAATTAGAAGATTTAGTTGTCATTTTATTATCCTTCAGACTGTTTGGATTTTTTAACCATATGCATGCATTTCTTTTTTATTTAGGAACAAAGATTTCATTAAAAAATTCTTGTGCTTGCTTCAGCTGCACATATATTAAAATGGGAAAAATACAGAGATTAGCATGGCCCCTTCACAAGGATGACATGCAAACTTATGAAGTGTCCCATATTTGGGGGGCTTAATTCCTGAGTGAGGAAGTAATCTATAAAACAAACCCTCATGACATGAGTTTACCTACATAACGAACCCTCACATGTACCCCCAAACCTAAAATAAAACTAAAGCAAAAAAATTAGAATATATCTTTATCATCTTGAATTAGGTATGGATTTGTTTAATAGTACACACACAAAAAACTAACACTTAAAAAATTGACATACTGTTTTTTTAAGACAATTGAGAACTTCTTCCATAGAAAGAGACCATGAAGGATAAATGGTTAAGTCATATACTGGGAGAAGAGATTCACAGTCGATAAATCCAACAAAGGTCTTGCATTCATAATATATAAAAATAATCAATATAATTTTTGAAAGTGAACAAAAGACTTGAACAGACATTTTACAAAAAGGATATTCAAATGGCTAACAATCATATGTAATGATGCCCAAAATCATTAGTCACCAGCCGGGCCCAGTGGCTCATGCCTGTAATTCCAGCACTTTAGAAGGCCGAGGCAGGTGGATCACCTGAGGTTGGGAGTTCGAGACCAGCCTGACCAACATGGAAAAAACCCATCTCTACTAAAAATACAAAATTAGCCAGGTGTGGTGGCATGTGCCTGTAATCCCAGCTACTCGGGAGGCTGAGGCAGGAGAGTTGCTTGAACCCAGGAGGTAGAGGTTGTGGTGAGCCAAGATCACGCCATCGCATGCCTGCCTGAGCAACGAGAGCAAAACTCCTTCTCAAAAAAAAAAAAAAAAAAGTCATTAGTCACCAAGAAAATGTAAAATAAAAAAACCATGATGGAATATCTCTCCTCTGCTGTCAGAATTACTAAAATTAAAATGGCTGACTATATTCATTTCTCATACATTGCTGGTAGAAGAATAAAAAGGTACAACTACTTTGAAAGTTCTTTGACAGCATCTACAAAAGCTGAACCTTCCAACCTTACCTCCATAAAACTTCCCTGATTTACAGATTTTCCTTCGGATAACCCCTCTAATTTATGTATGTGTTTACTACTGTTTAAAATCTGCTGTAAGTTTCCAAACTTTCATTGGCTCTATTTGATTGGGATTTGCTGAGTACCTACTCTAAATCAGACACTTGGAAATCTTATTGGGATTAAAGAGAGAACCTATTTTGTAGATCCCTTCCTACAGGAGCTCATAGACCAGAAGGAGTTGGAGATAATATATGCAAAGTAAGAGAAAAGCTGAATCTGGTGGCTCATGCCTGTAATCCCAGCAATTTGGGAGACTGAGGCAGGTGAATCATCCGAGGTCAGGAGTTTGAGACCAGACTGGCCAACATGGTGAAACCCCGTCTCTACAAAAATTCACTAGGCGTGATGGTGTGCACCTGTAATCTCAGCTACTCAGGAGGCTGAGGCCAGAGAATCACTTGAACCTGGGAGGCAGAGGTTGCAGTGAGCCAAGATCATACCACTGCACTCCAACCTGGGCGACAGAGCAAGACTTCGTCTCAAAAATAAAACAAAAAACAAAAAACAAAGTAAGAGACAAAAACCTCTTTAGACTAACCTTCTTTTCCCAACTAACTTCTACATTTCAATTCTGTGTCACACTTCTTTCATATTCTCACAGTGCCTGAATCTACAGTGACCCAAAGTAGAAACTGAGTAAAACTCTATTGAACTGATCCAGTTGAGGTATATTCACAGACAGCAAGAAAAAAATTGGACTAGCTGAAAAGAATAGATGTTGGTCACTGACAGCTTCAACAAGGCTTAAGGATATTCAAAACCTAGTCCCACACCGGCCAAAATTTTATATCTATTAGCTAATCCCATTCTCACAGCAACCTGTGGAGCAGGTACTATTACTGCCATTTTGACAGATGAGAAGCTTCAGATCAAGACAGATGATGTTATTTGCCAAGGTCATATGCCCAAGAACTAGCAAGGCAGAGAGCCAAACTCCTAGTCTCTCATTTTGAATTTTGGTTATTGCTACTACATCACATGCATCGGAAATAGCCTAATACCATTCCAGAGAAGTGTGAATCTAAATTTCTCTCTGGCTTTGGACCCTTACACGTTTTTCTTCCCCTGAAACACTTACGCAGCCCCATCGTCTATTCTCTTCTCCTGTCCTCCCTTTTCATGGGCAGTAACTTTCTCCTTCTTAAAACTCTGCTTTAATTTTAGTCTTTCCAGAAGGCCTTTTCTGATATCCAGGACAGGTTTTAATGCCACAGCTGTGAGCAACTCAAGCACCTTGTACCTTTTACAACCTATGATGTCATTGTTTAAAGGTGATTTCCTCACTAGGCTATGAGCTGCTATCTTTCCCATTCATTGCTGAATTCCCAATGCTTTGTACATAGTAGTGTTTCATTATATATTAAATGTATGTCATAATTCATTCAATTATGTAATTATTCATTCAATTACTTTCTATTCATAGAAAGTAAGAGCATTCTTCCAGGTCTAAGTTTGACCCTATTTTCCCCAATTCTGTCTACCAAGCAGCAGTAACCCAAGGTCAAAAAGAGAATGACTATATAGTCAGATGGATTAAGAGGCATAGAGCCTCATCCTATCCTGAGACTTACTTGGTGAGAGCTTTCCTCTCCTTTATGTAACTCAGTCTACCAATTTTACAATACCAGCATCATACTAGTTTGCTTCTGTACTCATACCTGGCACCACCTTGTTCTATTACTCTCAAAAGACTTGGTCATGCCCACAATTGACCTATGCTAGGGAGTCAGTTTTGCCTACATTCATCTGCATTCCCAGATATGAGAGGTCGGCTCCTGTGAGGCTATACAGTTTAGTGGAAATTTCTGTGGCTGAAAGGTGATGCATGGTGATTAAAGTAAAACTCATGAATGACAAGTATATGATCACTAACAATCTCCTGTTATGCTTTCTTATAGTTTTCAGTGGTTCTGAGCTCCTTTGATTTAGTGCTGCCTGATCTGCCACATCAACTTTGGTCCAGTTGCTCTTGGAAACCCCAAATGTTGCATGGTGTTGCAGTTTTGAAAAAAGTTCTCTGGGGAAAACAATTTGAATTACATTATTGGCATTCCATTAAAAACCTGCCTTGTAAATAATTAAGGATGCCAGAGGCCATCTGGCCTCATCCCACACAGCATCACTGTCAAGTGGTCATGCAATTCATGCTTAACAGCCCCTAATTATGGAGATCTCACTACCTGTGAGACAGCGCATTCCGAATCTCACAGTCTTAATTGGGAGAAAGTTGTTTGTTATTTTAGTAAAAATCTGCCATGTTGCAATTTTCTCCCATCGGGCTGATTCTGTCTTCTTCATAAATGCCTAATCCTCTCCCATATGACAACCATTACGTATACTGAAGGATGAAAGAAATGAATAGAATTACTACGTATAAATTGAAAACTTTAATACTCAAAAATGATTAACCAAAACAAGCAAATGGCCATGAAGAAGTTTAACTGATACACTGGGGGGAAAATGCATGTGTAACATCTATAAGAGATAAAGTGTCATTACACTTAGAAAAACTTACACAAAGTTATTCAACAGAAAAATGGGCAAAAAGTATTAACTAGTAATTTATTAAGGAATACAATGGTAGGCCGGGCATGGTGGCTCATTTGAGGTCAGGAGTTCAAACCCAGGCTGGCCAACATGATGAAACCCCGTCTCTACTAAAAATACAAAAATTAGATGGGCATAGTGGCAGCTGCCTGTAATCCCAGCTACTCAGGAGGCTGAGGCAGGAGACTCGCTTGAACCTGGGAGGTGGAGGCTGCAATGAGCTTAGACTGAACCATTGCACTCTAGACTGGGTAGCAAAATGAGACTCTGTCTCAATAAGTAAGTAAGTAAATAAGTAAATAAATAAATAAAAGAAATACAATGGTACTAAACATATGAAAGAATATTCAAATGCACCAAGGTATGACAAAAATGTAAATAAAAACAAGATCATCACAGTGTGCAAATTGATTTAATCTTTCTGGAGGACAGTTTAATGATATCAAAATTTTAATTATGTAACTATTAAATCCAGAAGTTTTACTTCTAGGAATTCATCCTAAGATAATTAGCCAAATGAACAGTGATAGAAGTTAAGGATATTGATTTAATTGTTCATTTGTAAGAGCAAAAATGAGATGGAGTCTTACTCTGTTCCCCAGGCTGGAGTGCAGTAGCATGATCTTGGCTCACGGCAGCATCCGCTTCCCAGGTTCGAACAATTCTCCTGCCTCAGCTTCCCATGTAGCTGGGATTCTGGATGTGAGCCACCACACCTGGCTAATTTTTGCATTTTCAGTAGAGATGGGGTTTCACCATGTTGGCCATGTTGGTCTCAATCTTCTGACCTTAGGTGATCTGCCTGCCTCAGCCTCCTAAAGTGCTGGAATTACAGACATGAGCCACCCAACAGTTAAATGTCTATCAATAGGAAATTGGTTATATAAATTATGGTCAAAACATGCAATGAAATTCTAAATAGCCATTAAATGTGATAATCTAGTTGACACAGAAATATGCCCATTACAGTGTTGAGTGATTAAAAGATTAATATTACACCTTCTGTATTTGTCCAATTTCATGCTGTTGATAAAGACATACCCCAGACTGGACAATTTATAAAAGAAAGAGGTTTAATGGACTTACAGCACCACATGGCTGGAGAGGCCTCACAATCACAGCAGAAGGCAAGGGGGGGCAAGTCACATTTCACGTGGATGGCAGCAGGCAAAGAGAGAGCTTGTGCAGGGAAACTCTCATTTTTAAAACCATCAGATCTTGTGAGACTCATTCATTATAACAAGAACAGCGCAGGAAAGATCTGCCCCCATAATTCAATCACCTTCCATCTGGTTCCTCCCACAACATGTGGGAATTGTGGGAGTTATAATTCAAGATGATATTTGGGTGAGGACACAACCAAACCATATCACCTCCTATGTGAAATTACATGTCTGTTGTGTGTCCATGCATTTGCAGTATGCTGTCTAGAACAATGGTCATCAAGATATCAGT